AATACATCCTCTACCCAATGGGGGTTGGTGGCTGTGACGAGGAAGCTGTTTTAGCGAGGAAGATGGCTTGGAGGCGCCTAGTGATGATAGATATAGACAAAGGGAGAAAATTAACACAGAAATTAAACAATCCTGGAAATGAAATGACTGGAATCCATACCCTGAGGCAGTTAGATCAGATTGAGAAAGAGGTTGCAGGGAGGAAAGATGGGGTATTGCAAGGTCCTGGAAGATTAGATGCCAACAAATGGAGTCTGGAAGGTCAGGATATCCAACCAAGCAGTCTGGAATGCCAAGGAACCCAACCAAACAATCTGGAATACCAAGGAACCCAACCAAACAATCTGGAATACCAAGGAACCCAACCAAACAGTCTGAAATACCAAGGAACCCAACCAAACAGTCTGGAATACCAAGGAACCCAACCAAACAGTCTGAAATACCAAGGAACCCAACCAAACAATCTGGAATACCAAGGAACCCAACCAAACAATCTGGAATACCAAGGAACCCAACCAAACAATCTGGAATACCAAGGAACCCAACCAAACAATCCGGAATACCAAGGAACCCAACCAAACAATCTGGAATACCAAGGAACCCAACCAAACAATCTGGAATACCAAGGAACCCAACCAAACAATCTGGAATACCAAGGAACCCAACCAAACAGTCTGAAATACCAAGGAACCCAACCAAACAATCTGGAATACCAAGGAACCCAACCAAACAGTCTGGAATACCATGTACCCAAGCATAAAAGGTCGGATTCGGCTCCAGTTGTGCCCGTACCAGAACTCAAACCCATACAAAATGCAGGAGACCTCGATTGTGAACCTGGAATTAAGAATAATTTACTTTGCCTTGGTGTTCCAGGGATATACCTCGACGATAGCTTCCAGAAAGTGTTATGGGCGAGGATGAGAGATACTGGAATGACATCACGGTGTTCTGGGAGGTTAGGTGATGTCATAAGTGTTTCTGGAATGACGTCAGGTTGTAAGAAACTCGATGATGTCACAACTGTTGATGGAAAGACGTCAGGGTGTTATAAGAGGCTGGATGATGTCACAACTGTTGCTGGAAAGACGTCAGGGTGTTATAAGAGGCTCGATGATGTCACGAGTGTTGCTGGAAAGACGTCAGGGTGTTCTAAGAAGATGGATGATGTCACAAGTGTTGCTGGAAAGACGTCAGGGTGTTCTAAGAAGATAGATGATGTCACAAGTGTTGCTGGAATGACATCAGGGTGTTCTGAGAGTCAAAGTGATGTCACAGGTGGTCGACATCAGTTGGAACCGGCAAGTGGGCTCAAACTTAAAGTCTCCAGTCCACAGTTAACAGTTTCGTGTCTACAGATAGGTACCCAGTCTCCGGTCAGTCACAAACAGTTAGGAATCTTATCTCCACAACCGGTAGCTGTTACTTGCCCTCGATCAACAGTTAGACGGTCTAGTTTACCAGTCAATCACTCGCAGCCACCAGTTACACGCCCACAAGCGACAGTCTTTGGCCCACAAGCAACAGTTATTCGCCGGCAACCAACAGTCTCTCGTCCACAGTCGATAGCTTCATGCAGTCCAAGAGATCATCACCCACCAGTCACCCAGTCAAAACCAACAGTCAAACACCCTCAAGCAACAGACATACGCCCACAAGCGACAGACACACGCCCACAGTCAACAATCTCTCGCCCACACTCAGTATCTTTGACCTCATTCCCTCAACCAGTCACTCCCAGTCAGCCAGAGGGTCTTGAGAAACCAGTCGTTGCCTTAAGGACAAATGCGGCGTTCCTAAAGGGGGTCACTCGTCACCGCAGCAGTTTCCCTATGCTTGGAACTTCAGCCATGCGTGCTTGTCAAGGAAGTCGATATATCCACAAGCATTTAGGCACCTCTGCTTGGGCATTGCTTGTCGATAACCCCCTCTATGGATGGTTTCAATTCGGGAATGAAACCTCGGCAAGTGGACATTCGGACATCACCAATAAGAATCTTGGAAAGGACATTCGTGGGAGGACTTCTGCGTCGTGTGTGATGTCCAGGGATTTGGGTAAATTGTGTGAGGGTAAGATTTTCTCGTCTAGTACAGGAAATGTTTCAGATGTCTCCTCGGATCAGTGTCCTGTGGTGTCCAATAGTAAAGCTGTTTCTAGTGTTGATGTCCCAATGATTGGATTTGAAAGTGGGATGTCCAGATGTGTTAAAGCATCAGATACAAAGGCTCTCTCGTTGAATTTTGATGTCCCAAGTGCTTTACCTCGGTGTCCTAAAGTACCTAGACGTCCACAGGAAGATCCCAACATACGAGATGTCCCAAAGGATGCAAACCAGTGTCCAGTGATGTCCAGAAACGAGGTAAACAGATGTCAACCTAGAAATTTACATCAATCTGGTACTTCAACTTCCTGGGGACATCAGATATTAAGGAGGTCACAATCCGACCCTGATGTCCTTGAGAAGTGTGACCCTCTCGTGATGTCAACCCAAAATACAACTGGATGTCCATTGATGTCTTCGATGTCCATTTCCTCTCACCTACAAGAATTGGGACATCAACCTTTGCGAAAAATGTCCTCCGCGCCCCTCTCACAAGACCCTGGTCGTTGTATTAAGGTTGTTCGACCCTCAACGACCCTTAGAGAGAGTAATGGACGTGGTAACAAGCCCATTTTAACCACGACGTCTAGTGGACTTGAAAACGGACGTGTTAGGAAGTCCGTGACGTTTAAATCCACGGACGTTCATGATGGTGTACATCTGGAGGCTGATGTGTGTACCTCTCATGTACACCCAGCTCCCCTGACGCACACACACGTACATGACTTGGACAAGGGTACACATGTCCATCAGTGTACGCGTATGTGGAGTTCCTCAAACGTACATGACGCTTCATCAGTACGTACACACGGACCTGATGTACGTTTTACAACCCCAGGATTAAAAGGTTTACATGTGTGTACATCTCTGGAGCAACATCCCCATGTACGTAAACCGGTTATAGAAGATGAATGTGTGCGTTCAACTGACATACATGAAGCATCAGAATCTCACGCACACGGGGAACCATGTATACCTTCAGATGACGTACACGACTCACATGTACGTGCCATAGACGTACACGACTCCTGTGAACGACCCTTAGCGACCAGTTCCCCCAAGACGACTCTTCAGCCACTCAGGTAAACACATCTCATAAAGGTAAACAAACAGGTATTGAACCCCGATATATAGAACCTCGTCATTTTGAACCCCGATATACTGTACGGATGCCCAGGTGTTAAAAAAAACTCGATATAGTGAACCCATTAGTTGTTGGACCTTGGTATAGTGAACCCATTAGCTGTTAAGCCCTGATACAGTGGACGGTCAGTTGTTTTAACCCCTGTGTAGTGAACCCATCAGCTGTTGAACCCCAGTATTATGAACCTCTCACTGTTTAATCCCGATATAATGAATCCATCAGCTGTTAGACCCCAGTATAATGGACCATCAGCTGTTGAACCTTAATATAGTGGAATTCTCGGGTGTTGAACCGTATTTAGTAAGGAGGTGATAACGGGTTTTGTCTCCTAGAGCGAGGTTACGTTACTGTTTTCTCTACCTCTCTCCCTCCTGCCCTCCCTACCCACTTACCTCCCTCCTCCTCCTCCTCCTCCTCCTCCTCCTCCTCCTCCTCCTCCTCCTCCTCCTCCTCCCTCCCTCCCTCCCTCCTCCTCCCTCCCTCCCAGTATTACAATAAGAGACAATAACATTCTCTCCTTATCTCTCTCCCTGATCTCTCACCTGGGAGAGAGAGAGAGAGAGAGAGAGAGAGAATCATACATACATACACAGAAAAACATACTTAGATACATACACAGAGAAACATGCATACATACATACATACATAAGACAGATAGAAACAGACAGACATCCACACAGGGGCAGGGGGAGACACACAACAAGGAGGTGTTATTCAAGACAAGTGAGGGAATGTAGACAACTCCCTCTTACGGTATATAATGACGGCCATTATCTCTCACTTCCACCACCTAACCTAACCTAACCTAATACTAATCTAACCTAACGTAACACTACGTAATACTAACCAAACCTAACGTAACCTAACGTAATACTAACCAAACCTAACGTAACCTAACGTAACCTAACGTAATACTAACCAAACCTAACGTAACCTAACCTAATACTAATCTAACCTAACGTAACACTACGTAATACTAACCAAACCTAACGTAACCTAACGTAACCTAACGTAACCTAACGTAACCTAACACTAACCTAACGTAACCTAACCTAATACTAATCTAACGTAACCTAACCTAATACTAACCTAACGTAACCTAACGTAATACTAACCTAACGTAACCTAACCTAACGTAACCTAACGTAATACTAACCTAATCCTAACCTAACCTCCTGAACCCCTACTTTCGAACCCATGTACTCTGGATCCAAACCCCTGAACCTTATTCCTGAACCCATTATGTTAGGTTTGGTTAGGTTAGGTTTGGTTTGGGTTTGGTTAGGTTAGGTTAGGTTAGGTTTGGTTAGGTTAGGTTAGGTTTAGGTTTGGTTTCTAGACAAAGGGATGGAGGCTTCCTATTGGTCCATTAATACCGCCTATCCCTATGTGTTATCGACCTCTCACCTCTCCTTCCTGGGGGGGGGGGGTGATCCGGATGTGACCACTTGGTGTAATGGAGGTGTTGTGTGTGTGCGTGCGTGTGCGTGCAATTGAGTCTTTGTGTGAGTGCATGCATGTATGTATGTATGTATATGTGGTTTTAACAGAGAGACAGACAGACACACACACACACACACACACACAGACAGACAGAAAATGTCCCCAGATTCACTAAACTACCCCCAATCCAATCAGCCAATCATAACTCAGTATACAACTCACTAATTACCTATCCAACTAATTACCCAATCACTACACTACTAATTATCGTAACGTATAACATCATTAATACTGTATTTTGGTCATTACAGGTGAGTTTTGGACTGTGGAGAGGTTACAGTCGGCCGGTACAGGTACAGTAAGGTACAGACGTATTGTACAGGTAAGTTGAGATGTTTAATTACAGGTACAGTACGTTACAGGTGTGTTAATTTAGGTATTATTACAGGTACAGTAGGTTACAGGTGTGTTAATTTAGGTATTATTACAGGTACAGTAGGTTACAGGTGTATTAATGTAGGTATTATTACAGGTACGGTAGGTTACAGGTATTTAAAGTACAGGTTAATGATTCTACAGTTATTTAGGTTATTTTAGCTACAGGTAATACAGTTTTTATTATGGATTTCACGTTAGAATTACAGGAAAGTGAAATATTTTAGTTATGGTTGAAATGTAAACAAAGTAGCCGGTCGTTGATTGGCTGACGTGTCCACCAATGAAGGTCACTCACGCTCGCCTTCCATTCACAAGATTGGGTGAATGGCTGGTGCCTCTCTCATCCCCGTGAAGATGTCTTGGGTAGGTGTTGTATCAAATATCTTGGTGTAGTTTAGGATGCTTGGACTTGTTTTGGTGTCTTGAATCTGTCTTCTAAGATATCTACGGAGGATTAGAGAGAGTTTTTAGTGGTTAAGGATGATTATAATTACGATTTAATAGTGTCTTTGAAGATGTCTATACATGATTTGATAGTGTCTTTGAAGATGTCTATACATGATTTGATAGTGTCTTTGAAGATGTCTATATTTAAATTCGAATGTGTTAATTGCTTCTCAGTATTGCAAATTCGTTCTCAGGTTATTTTAAATGACGAATAACAAGCTTTTATAGTATTTAGTGCTTGTTGGAAGAGAGCATCAATATATGAGTGAATATCTGTCATTTAATTGGTCTAGCGAGCGTCACAACATAAGGCTTAGTTACCCCGGGGAAGAGTCATTACAGAAAACGGGTGGAGAGAAAACGGCTAAATTATATCTCTTGTTTGTTCTCAAGGTCAAATAAAGGTTCTGGAGGATAGCTGGGGGGTAGGATTATAGCTGAAGATAGCTTACATCTTGCACAGTTTAGTTTAAGCCGTCAGCAAGGTGATATAAACAGTATCTGGAGGGAGGAGGAGGAGGTGTTTACATGGTGCAGTGTTGCCAGATGTCTTATGCTCCCAAGGTCATAAATTTTCCATACAAGATATTTATTTTATATATTTTTCTTCTATTTTGTGATGTGAGAACGTATCTAACTGACTTATTTAAGCTACCACACAAAGATAGATTCTCAAAGGTTCCTACATTAAAGAGAAAGAGAGAGAAAGAGAGATGTCATAAGATAATTCCCAATAAAGTCATCAATTACTCGTGGAAGTCATTGTAATAGATATCTAAACCTAACCTAAGACATCTCGGCATATATAGAGATGTAGCCGGGGCAGTAAACCGTACCCACCCCTAGTCCAAGGTGGTCAGGGCTGCGTCTACCATCAGTTCATGGACTTCTATCTCTCTGGATGGTGTCTCGGGGCCGTCTCTCGTCTCTCACTAGTGATTCTATGTCTCTCAGGTCTCTTATTAAGGGAGATATAATGACTTGAGAGATAAATAGTGAGAGATTATGGCCTTGTGTTTATAATAGGCATAGTGGCTGGGAAATATTGCCAATTATAATATCTCCAGTGATTGGTGATTGGTGTTAATTATCACCATTGCAACAGTGATTTTCTCGGTGATTGCAAGATGATTAGTAGTGACCTTGGTGATTAAATGTGACCTTAGTGGGTTTGGTGTGTCTAATGAGTCGTAGATCGTATATGGTAATTTATTATAATGTTGTGGGGAGGAATTTTCAACTAATTGTATGTTTAATCGTAAAAAATAACACCAATTTATTCCTAAAAAATAAATAAAGCAAAAAAAAAAAAGTTCTGATATTTTTGACGTGAGAAAAAATCATTATAATTTATGATATAATTATACAAGAAACATCTAAGTGTATTACCTATTTCCTCTATTATAACTATCACCCATTGACCCATTAACAGCCCATTAGGTAGTTAAAACAGGTTAAATATATGAGGATGAACGAGGGAGTTATAGTAGGTCTTTATAAGGGAATATTCTCACAAGATGGAACAACAGAATGCAACCTTATTTAACACCATAAACTAACATTATTAATTAACTTCCTGGTGTTGGGGGGTAGTTTAACACGTGTAATTTAACATGAGGGAGATATTAGTAGGGTTAGGTTAGGTTTAGATAGTTTAAATAGTGTTTTAGATCACATGTGGTTTAGTGAGTCGGGGGATATTATTGGAACCGCCGTGACCGTGTCCATAACTCACCTACTGATTTGGAGTAAAGTTATTGCTTATAAAAGATGAAAAACAATATAATTTTAAGCATTTATATATGAATAAATTATTTTTGATATATTTAAGTAACTTGTATTTACTTATAGTCGATGTAAAATGAGGAAATAATGTTTTGATGAAAGCATTTACGGTTTTATGGCATACGTTAATATTTAGTTTATACTGATTAAATTATTCGCCAGATTATAATCCAAACCTCAATTAATCCGTCAATAATTAACCCTAATTAAATAATCCACTATATATTAATCCCAATCTATAAATAATCCATCAAATCCTAATCGAGTATATTAAAATCCAGATTAAATCCTAAAATACCGTTCGCGTAACACTCATTAATCCGACTTGGTAAACAAACTGGTCAGCGGAGAGAATTAAGAATCCGGATTCATGGTGGGCGTTTTTGAAAGTATTTAATATGTCCTTCAGATTTAATAGGTCAGTGATTTTTTATTTTTATTGGTGGTTAATGTCGGCGTAGTGATATCTGAGTTGAGAGAGAGAGAGAGAGAGTGAGAGAGAGAGAGGTAGAGTGAGAGAGAGCGATATATAAGTAATAATTAATCCCTAATGAGTGGCCTACATAGTATAAATATCCCCTATGAGTGGCCCATGTATAAAAATCCTCTATGAGTGGCCCATACATAAGGTAAAAATCCTCTATGAGTGGCCCAAACATTGTAAAAATCCCCTCAGAGTGGCCCATACATAAGGTAAAAATCCTCTATGAGTGGCCCAAACATTGTAAAAATCCTTTATGAGTGGCCCATACATAAGGTAAAAATCCTCTATGAGTGGCCCAAACATTGTAAAAATCCTTTATGAGTGGCCCAAACATTGTAAAAATCCCCAATGAGTGGCCCATACATAAGGTAAAAATCCTCTATGAGTGGCCCAAACATTGTAAAAATCCTCTTTGAGTGGCCCAAACATTGTAAAAATCCCCTCTGAGTGGCCTATATAGCCCTTTAATCCCGTAGTCTAACGTAAACTAACCATCTTACAAGAGGTATTTAAACCGAGAATAATTTCGCTTTTATTCCACCTAAAATGCGAAAAATATCACCTACGCATTTTAACAACTTTTCCTCTACGTGAAATAGTTAATGTGGATGTTTTTTTTAATATGTATTCAGTTTAAAATCGTAATTAATGTGTGTTTCGTAAATTTCAAGTCATTTATCCATTAATTTGTAAGTTATGGTTCTTGAATTATTACAGATATATGTTATAATAATTCCTATATTGATTATTATGGTGATTACGTAGAAAAAACTAGTCTATAGTGTGGAAATAGTGAATATAGTGAGATGTTCCTTGCTAGTTAATATGACAGTTGAACAAGGGTGAACTAGCTTGTTGAGGACCCGGATGTGAGGGAAAATGTACCGTTTGTGTGTTTGTTTGTTTAGGAGTGATGGAGCTGCGACCCGGGGGTGATAAAACTTGATAATATATTGTTGGTTGTTCGGTGTTGTGGCCGGACGATGATGGAGAGATGCCCGAGGCCTTTGAGACGATGGGGTTACTGGCTGCCCTGATGGTGTTCCTACGAGTGTGTGTCCGTCGGGGAAACTCTTAGATGAAGGTGCCGGAATGGCTCTTACGCCTGAGGAAGGGAGGAGGAGGAAAGAGGCGTGGAGGAGAGGACCAAGAGGTACCTCCAGCCTCCTCCATCAGTACCCCAATACTCGTTCACTCCACCAGTCATTTGCTCAACCCCATAGTGAGGGCCGGCACGGACGGTAACGCCGGCCGGTACGCTAATGCCTCTACGTCGGCCAGCACGCCCGTCCTCGCGCACTCCTGCTTCCACGGGAAATCCGGGAAGGACGGCGGCGCGGGGCGTCCGTCGCCTCCCTCGAGCGCCGTCCCCCTGCACGGTGGCCCGAGAGACAGCCGGCTGTCTGACGAGTCGTGTCTCCTGCGGCGGGACGCTGCCGTGCGTCACAGCATCGCCGGCAGCAACAGAAGCACCACGTTTAGTCAGACCGGCCGTAACTCCGTGTCGTTCGCGCCCAGAACCGCCACCAGCAAGACGGACGGTCACTTGGACGTCAGGCGGGATGCGTCGGGCAGCACTAAGCCCAAGACCCAAGGGTTGAGGAACTTTCTAAGAAGTAACAGCGTCAGGGAACCACCGAGCGAGACTCCCGGCCACAAGAATCCATCAAGACCGTCCACGGGTCTCGCCTCAAATAATGAGAGCAACGCGGCGGTCGATTCTTCCGCTTCGTCCAACGCGAAGAGAAAAAATAACTGTGTTAAGAAACCGGCGGAGGAGAAGAAGAACGTCTCCCGTAAACTGGGGACTAAAGCTAAGAGGAGCAGCGAGCCGTGTGTGTCCGTCCAGAAGAAGGTCTCCAGGGACGGCATCAGGCGTAAGAGTTCCCAGCAGAAGGACTCTCTCTCCTCCTCCTTCCGTTTCTTCCGTAGGCCCGACGCCGTACGGGTCGGGAAACGTCGGGAGGAGTCGCCCGACGCCGGCGTCAGTTCTCCCGATCTCTCGCAGCAGATGTCGACGCCTCCGGTGTTACGCGGTGAGGAGTCGTCCCGCTGCAGGAGTCGACCCCGGAGCTTTGACGAAAATACTCTGACCAGATCCTCCGGCCGTTCCCACGAACCCAGCAGAGGCGTCGAGAGGAATCGTTCGTTTAGAATCGTGAGAAATGTGAACGTCTGTCCGCCGGATCCGCCGACCGCTATCTCCCTTGGTGCCGGACGCGGCTACAATAAACCCAAAGTCACGAGGCGTCTGGACTTTGGGGCCCAACCGGCCGGCGACCGAGGCGTTAAAAAACAAAAATCACGACCCACGCGACTCTGTAAGTGTACGGCAAGTAGCTCCTGCAACCACTGTAGGGGCGACGGCGGGCATCTTAACTACGGGGATCCCCGGAGGGTCGGCGGCGAGGGCACGTACGACAACGAGCCGACGGACGGCGAGGTCGGACGAGGTGCCGAAGACCCGAACTCGGAGGACGGTGACCGGCCGAGCGACGCCTCGAAAGAGAAGCCCTCCAGGATGGCCGAGAGGAGACCGTCGGTACGTAAGGCCCTGGAGACGTACGAGCAGCTGTACATAGCCAGACGGGACAGAGAGAGGCTACAGAACCGCCCCACGGCACTCTACATCCCCGTGGACAAGACGACGGAGACGGCCGGCGAGAACGACCCGCCCGACGTTAAAGATTACCTCCTGGAGTACGACGAACCGGGCCGCCCGATACCCGTCTCCTCAGAAGACTCCTCAGACGTAATCACCCCAACACAGCCCAGAAAGAGGAACCTCTCCCCCATCACCCTAGAGATGAAGAAAGCTCACAAGACGTGCAGCGGCTCGGAGGAAAACCGCGACTCGGCGATGGACGGACGTTACGGGGATCACCGAGACCAGACCCTGTACTCCAAACCCCTGACGTCGAAATTCGGTCGAACGGAGACGGAGAACTTGGACGAACTAGACGACCCAGACGACCCACTCGAGGAGATTATGAGGGCCTTGGAGGAGAAGACCAAACCCTCAATGCCGCCAAGGAAGTACGACTCGAGCGATGACGATGATGATTTTGTTGACCTCGACGATGTTTTGGTCGACTACGATCTGCCTGGCGTGAGGAAACAGAGGTACTGCACTATACTACACCACACAACACCACACATCACTACACAACACATCACTACACAACACAACACAAGACATAACTCTCTCTTGGCTTCTGTCAATTATTATTATTTTAACCACTAATAACTGTATCTCTAAATAATTCTCTATGACAGCAAAGTTTGGGGTTACCTGAAGATTAGCACCCCCCGCCCTAGAGCTTACGATACCTGGTGATTAATTAAACACACTTGACCTACCTGGGGGGGTGTTAGGTTAGGTTATGATACTGTTAGGTTAGTTTTCTGTCAGGTTAGGTTAGGTTAGTTTTCTGTGAGGTTAGAGGTGTGTTAGGTTAGATTAGGGTGTTTAATCATCAGGTCAATTAAGCTGGGTGGCTAATCTTCAGGTGATCTTATTATTATTGTTATTTAGAAAAGGCCTCGGAGTATTGATTATATTTTGTGTTACTGTATACAGCTCCTCCCCGACTTACGACCTGGATTTTGGTCCCTAACCCCGTCGTAAGTCTGGGAGGAACTGTATTGTGTTATTAACTTCTTCACTACAGGGACGACACTTTTAATATTAACACCAGATGATTTTATACCACTCCTGAGGGACTAAATAACTCACATTTTCCACAGGGGTGAGGATGACAACTTGGCGTGTGGGCTGAGTTACCTGCCGTCAACTGGACCATCCGGGGTGCCGCGGTCCGCCACCCCGCCACCCTCCTTCACCATGAGTAGCGGTTGTGGTCATCCGCCCTCTCAGCCGACCGCCTCCATCATCAACACACACCCCCCGGCCCTTCCTCTCAGTAGACCGCATCCTTACCTGCCACATCCTCTTAACATTTCACAGGTAAGTTCGTGTTTAATTAATGTGTCGTGATTCACCTGTACGTCTCATTCAGGATATATCACACGGTAACTCCTCTATTTAATGAACTATATAGAGATGAAAGTCCATTATATCAAGGGTCCATTATATATAAAACCTCCATCTAATGAACTATATAGAGATGAAAGTCAATTATATCAAGGGCCCATTATATATAAAACCTCCATCTAATGAACTATATAGAGATGAAAGTCAATTATATCAAGGGCCCATTATATATAAAACCTCCATCTAATGAACTATATAGAGATGAAAGTCCATTATATCAAGGGTCCATTATATATAAAACCTCCATCTAATGAACTATATAGAGATGAAAGTCCATTATATCAAGGGTCCATTATATATAAAACCTCCATCTAATGAACTATATAGAGATGAAAGTCCAGTATATCAAGGGTCCATTATATATAAAACCTCCATCTAATGAACTATATAGAGATGAAAGTCCAGTATATCAAGGGTCCATTATATATAAAACCTCCATCTAATGAACTATATAGAGATGAAAGTCCAGTATATCAAGGGTCCATTATATATAAAACCTCCATCTAATGAACTATATAGAGATGAAAGTCCATTATATCAAGGGTCCATTATATATAAAACCTCCATCTAATGAACTATATAGAGATGAAAGTCCATTATATCAAGGGTCCATTATATATAAAACCTCCATCTAATGAACTATATAGAGATGAAAGTCCAGTATATCAAGGGTCCATTATATATAAAACCTCCATCTAATGAACTATATAGAGATGAAAGTCATTATATCAAGGGTCCATTATATATAAAACCTCCATCTAATGAACTATATAGAGATGAAAGTCCATTATATCAAGGGTCCATTATATATAAAACCTCCATCTAATGAACTATATAGAGATGAAAGTCCAGTATATCAAGGGCCCATTATATATAAAACCTCCATCTAATGAACTATATAGAGATGAAAGTCCAGTATATCAAGGGTCCATTATATATAAAACCTCCATCTAATGAACTATATAGAGATGAAAGTCCATTATATCAAGGGTCCATTATATATAAAACCTCCATCTAATGAACTATATAGAGATGAAAGTCCAGTATATCAAGGGTCCATTATATATAAAACCTCCATCTAATGAACTATATAGAGATGAAAGTCCAGTATATCAAGGGTCCATTATATATAAAACCTCCATCTAATGAACTATATAGAGATGAAAGTCCAGTATATCAAGGGTCCATTATATATAAAACCTCCATCTAATGAACTATATAGAGATGAAAGTCCAGTATATCAAGGGTCCATTATATATAAAACCTCCATCTAATGAACTATATAGAGATGAAAGTCCAGTATATCAAGGGTCCATTATATATAAAACCTCCATTTAATGAACTATATAGAGATGAAAGTCAATTATATCAAGGGCCCATTATATCAAGGGCCCATTATATCAAGGGTCCAGTATATATGGTTAGGTTAGGTTTTATGGAGTCTGACACCATCTCCTTCCCTAATATGGTGTAAACCTTGTCGAGAATTTCCTTTAGATACTCTGGCAGTCGTTGTTTAAGACCTGGGTATTTATATTAATTTATTTAGAACCGTTTAGAGTCAGTCGCTGGATAATACGAATTTCCTCCAGAGATAAATTGGTTTTTTTTTATAATTCTGGTTTAATAGTCAACAATATTCTTAATTATTTATGGTATAGTACTGTAATTCATAGCCTAACCTAACCAAAACCCAACCTAACCTAATCAAAAACCATGTAAGAAAGTCAACAATAACAACATTTCATAATCGTCGTACTTACAGGAAAATGGTGGTGGAGGAGGAGGAGGAAGCTCGGGGCTGCGTGTTGGGTCCCCAGATCGGCCGGAGAAGAGCATCAGGGTCCATGTTAATTCCCTCTTTAATGTTGTCAAGTTCGGTGAAGGGACGGACATCAAGGTGAGGACGGATAGGAGGGATATTTTTGTATTGTCGTTCGATGATGTATTCAGCTTAGGGGCCAAGGTAGATAAGAATCTATCGTAGTTTGTAATTATTTATCTTCTCTAATCTAACCCCCAACCTACACCCCCCCCCCCAGGCAGCAATGGGGTAATCTCCGCTTAATTTCAGACTCCTCGTCGACCAATAGAATCCATGGTTGTCTACTGGGGTGCTGGTCGCCGAACGAGTCACTGTCTCATCGATAAATCTCAATCATTTCTTTGTTTACTAACTCGTAGAATTAATTACTTCCCTGATTAAATATATGGATTAATTATAGTTCATTTGATTAGTTAAGAAATGCAAGAATATTCATGATTAACATTGATAGTTTATCTAACATTTCCAGCGATGATTGTGAGGTGTTTTAAGAGAATGTTTGTGTTGGGTGTCTTAGTAAATGTTCCTTCCTCTCTCTCTCTCCTTGCCTCCTTCCCTGCTTCCTGAGACGGTGTGAGAGGAAGGAAGGAAGCAATAAGTGAGAGACATAGGAACAATTTTCTGAGACACCCTTTATATATCTGAGAAAGAATGATTATATCTGTGTTTTTATCAATTGTTTTTAATATGTTCCTCTCTTCCCCCCCCCACCCCTCCCTAAAGGAACCAAATATCAAGGTAATTCGCTCATTGTTGCGTGGTGTCATTCTCTTCTTGTTGGGTATTGCGGTACATAGGGTTATGTTATTGTTTTCTTCGTCACCGCTACCCTTCAGAATCACATGCCAGTTCTTAATGCCAGTATTGTGTGTGGGAACGTGTTATTTTAGCCTTTATTGATCAATAGCTCACCTGGACATTAACCTTCCTGCCCTCCTTCCTCCTTAGATAGTTTCAGGGTGGTTAAAGTTCAGGGTGGTTAAGCTGGGGGTGACTTCAGGTGAGGGGGTTAATCTTCAGGTGAGGGGGTTAATCTTCAGGTGAGCACTTGAGGAACTAATCATCAGGTAAGCACTTGGGGGAACTAATCATCAGGTGATCGATAAAGGTTAAAAATTACAAAAGTCCTCATTCATGATCTTAACTACCTAACGATCGTTCCCTTAATCATTTTGTCACGTTTCTAACTACCGTACAAACTGAATGCACCGCTGACCTGAGTTATCTTCTAATCCTCGTCACCAGAGAGGCTACACCCAAGACAATTTCCTTTTACATATAAATTCTGATAATTTTCCGCCTTATTTTCAAACTCCATCGAGGCCGTGAACAGAGGGGAGGGGGTATTGGGAGCTAGATTTATGCCTACGAACGTCAATAATACTTTTCCGCTGCCTTTTGTTTTTTATTTACAGTATATCATCTGAATATTTCCAGGTGTTTTAAATTTTAACTAGAATCTTGAGAGGTTTAAAGTCATACCTATATAGTCCGTTATATAGGGGTTCCACTGTGATGTTTTGTTTACCTCGAGATTAAATCGGGCCTAAACATCGACCGCCTCGGAGGAGTTTGAAAAGACGTTTGTTATTGTTCTGCCTGCGCTTCATTTTATCCCCGTTCCTGATGCCTTCTATAGGGTACTGCATTTGGGGTCTTGTCTATACCTGTCGTTAAATCTACGAGCATCTTGTTGTTATTGGGAGTTGCATGATTTGCGACTTTGACTTTCCACCGATTCTCGACCAATCATCAGCCTTATATATGCCACATTCTCATTGACCAATCATAATTCTTCGTTTATCTTACATCACCGAACAATTTATGTCCTTGTTATTTTTCTCAATCTTCTGTGAGATAACGAGCGCATGTGTAACGATGGCATGTATTAACGAGGTCGTGTATTGACGATGGGCATGTATTAACGAGGTCGTGTGTCACTTACAGTGCATAATAAGCGTGGTGATCAGCCGACAAGCGCCAGGAATGCGGCCGTACGATGGGATGTTCGCTATCAGGCTGCGGAACACCATCACAAGGGAAATTCATTGGCTGCACCAGGACCTGACCATGTACCAGGTTAGTGTGTGACCTGACCTGACCTGTTCTGACCTGATGTGACCTATCCTAACTCAACCATGTACCAAGTTACTATACATCTCTTGACCTAACCTAATCTGACCTGACCTATCTTGAACTATTTTGACCTGACCTGTTTAGACCTGTCCTAACATAACCTAACTTAACCATGTACTAGGTTAATATGTGCCTCTTGACCTAACCTAACCTGACCTGACCATGTACCAGGTTAGCATGTGACCTGACCTGACCTATTCTGACTTAACCTATACTAACCTAAATTACTGTATTCCTAATAACATTTAAACAATTATCAACATAGTAACTATACCTCCTTAGAGACAGTAATTATTGCAATCATCATCATCATCATCATCATCATCATCATCATCATTAATATCATTATACCATCAACAGGTCGAGGAGAAATACCCAGAATTCCAGAACGAAGATTGGAAGTTCGAGCTGCGAGTTCGTTACGTCCTCAACGACCTCCACCTGTTGTACGAGAAGGACCGCAGCACCTTCTGTTATTATTACGAACAGGTATGGGGGGCTAGTCCGGGGCCTCGGTAAATGGCCGTAGAGGTTCGACGGCCATTGAGGTGTGGTGTTTAGGTGAATGAGCTACGCCGACAGGAAAACAAATGACGTACTGATAATAAGACAAAAATTTGGAGAGAAATATTTTAAATGGATAGAAAAATGAAATGTTTTGGTGATATGATTAGGGATGGATAATGGTAGATGGATTAATGGACATTAGAGCCAGGGGGGGGGGAGACAGAGACCAGGAATAAATGAAAGAAATTAAAAATCGGGGCCCCATAGAGATACAAAACCATAGAAGATCGATAAAAAAAAAAAACAGACCCTCGAACATTTCAGAGTAGGGGGCTGTGGTCGCCAACCCTCAGATAAGAGGATGGTGTCTCTGGCTGATTAATATACAGGTGATACTAATTCGTTAATAATCCACAGGTAATATATGGATGGGAGATTGTCTTAGTGTTTCTTAAGTAGATTGATTGATTGAGTGTGTTAATTATAACCCCGACGATGTGATAGATTAGGTTATATATCCGTGAATTAAAGGTAAACAAACAAACCGTTAGCGGAATATAATTAGGAGGCCATTTCAGCGTAAGGAAGTTTACCGTATCGATGTACGTTTTGCGTTTGTTGATATAAAGCGACGATTGCTAATGTATGTTTTGTTCCGCAGGTCAAGAACGATTATCTAGAGGATGAGGCAAGAGTCAACGAGGGGATGGATCAAGACGTGGCCCTTCAGCTCGCTTGTATAGAAATTAAGCGGCTTTTTAAGGTACGTCTCTGTTTACGTCGTGTTTCGGCGTTACCTGGTGGTTAAGGGGAGGGAGCGTTAGGTAGTTTATTTTACCTGAAGATTAACCTCCCTAATGCTATTGGGGAAGCGTTAGGGTAGGGTAGGGTAGTGGATGGTGGGTTAGGGTAGGTTAGGGTAGGGTTAGGGTACAAATAGATTAAAGGAACATCAAACATTCAGTTATATTAACCACCGTCCCTACAGCTAACCACCACAAACGACAACCTCTCTTAAAGACCTAACGACCAACAATACGACCATTTCACCTCGTTTCAGGATTTGAGCTGCAGTACCCTAGAGAAAAAATCCAACTTCGAGTATCTAGAAAGAGAGGTCGGTTTCCACAAGTTCCTCCCGTCGACGGTACTGAACACCATGAAATCCAAGACGTTGAGGAAGTCGCTGCAACAACACTTCAAGAAATACGGCCACCTGTCGGAGTCCGAGTGTTACTTTAAGTTCCTCGAGCTGTTGGGGAAGGTCAAGAAATACGACCAGGAGTCATTTCGTTGTGCGCTTGGGGTGAGTCGAGTCGTCGATTTGTTTCTGTGTCTCGAAGCTTTCTCTCTTTTATAAGCTGTCTGTTAAGCTTTCTCTCTCCTGTATAGGCTGTCTCGAAGTTTTCTCTCTCATATAAGCTGTCTGTTAAGCTGAAGTTCCCCTATACCTCCAATATGTATTATGGTTTAGTGTGTTTCTAAGCTTTCTCCATCACCCAGAACCCCTCTCACAAGCTTAACTACCCCTACACTTCCTTTAACAAGCTTTACTACATCTCAAAGCTTTCTCCATCACCCATAACCCCTTCTCACAAGCTTAACTACCCCTACAACACCTTAATTGACCTTTAAATACCTCTTACCACTTAATCACATCAACGTGACAAAAATACTCAATCAGATAATTTAAAATAACAAAAAAAGTTATATTTTCCCCAAAGTTGGTAATAATTTGGATTAGGATTTATATTAATGTGTATATATTAAGATTTACATAGAGCTTTAGTGTGTGTACATAGATAGAGGATTCATGTATGCGGACGGTGACTACGTATTGAACTATGTAGACCTATACGATGTGCGTAATTAGGTGCGTTGCAAGCGAGGTGATTAACGTTACTTCATCTTACAGTCTGGTTGGTCCATTCCCGTGACTCTGCTCGTGGGACCATCTGTCGGCATCTCATATATGACAGACTCGGCGGCTAAGGTGGGTGTCAAGACGTAGAGGTAAACAAATACTGTACCCCCATAGCTGAATTGTTCTCTGTTGTTGTTGAGCTGAGAGGTGTGTGTGTGTGTGTGTGTGTGTGTGTGTGTGTGTGTGTGTGTGTGTTTAAGTCTTAATAGTCTTGCCCTGTAGTGGAAAATAACAAGCCACAATTTAATCGCAAGTTTTTATAGTGCGTCGTTCATTTTTCAATCACATTAATCTGTCCTGGGGTGCAAAACGACGGGCCAGAATCAATCGAAAGTCTTCGTAATGTAACGTTTTTCTTAATTTTCTTTCAGCCCAACCACATGGCGAGCTTCGAGCAGGTGCAGAGCGTAGAGACATTGACAACCGACTGTGATACCCACCGCAAAGCTCTCGTCCAGCTTAAGGTATGGCACCGACGTAAACAAACGCGACAACGGCGAAGGATTTAGACACTTGAGGATATTGAGATGTTTGTTAAATTTACCGTTGATTTTCTTTAGGGTGTTTGGTGTAGCTTAGGTGTTTAGCTGATCCTAACCTAACCAAATCCAACACCAACCCAACCAGACCCCAACCTAACCCGACCCTAAGCTAACCCTAAGCTAACCCGACCCTAGGCTAACTGATAAATCTCCGTCATCTCAGGTCGCCGGGACAGCAGAGGCACTCACCGTCACTTGTCCCAGCATAGCGAGCGCCGAGAGCCTAGCCGACCTCATAGATGGTTACTGCCGGCTCGTCAACAACACTCGCACCTCCCTCTGGAACACGAAAGGTAAACAGCGAGGGTCTGGGGGCCAGGTATGGTGTAGGGGGACGGGATGATGTCGTAAGTGTGTTTTGCGGGTTTTTGTTTGTGTTTCTTTGGGGTTTTTTTGTCCGATGTTGTAAGGATTATTGTTATTGTCTGTTTTCTTTTGATTATTCTTTCTCATTTTCTTTCATCTTTCTATTTCTTCCTTTCTTCCTTTTCTTCCCTCCATTATCTCCTCCTCCTCCTCCTCCTCTTCTCCTCCTCCTCACAGACCCATAACCAACGGTAAAATCTTAACACCAATTTATTTAATCCAGTCGTCAAATTTACATTAAACATCGCAAAAACTTTTTAAAAAACTCATAAAAATTCAATTAAAACTTTTACGAATTTAAATTTTTGTAAATATTTTGATTGTTAGTGAATATAAATTACTTTGAGCTATCTTGAAGTACTGTTTCTCTGCCTGTTAATGGTCGTATGTGATTAAATCTGTTTATATAATTAATCAAACGACCCTGGATAATTATACGCATTTATATGATTAAATGACTAGAAAATTATATGTGTTTATATGATTAATACACATTTATTCTACAGGATTATATGTGTATGTATACGTATTCTATTTAGGTTATTGTAATAATTTATATAACAACCAGGAACTGATAATTTAATAGTTGTTGGGATGATTCTCACGACTAATTGGTTTATTTATTTAATTTTTGTTTCTCTCCTTATTGAGGTCTTTTGCACATCATCGCTTCTGGCCGCGTCGAAAACAATTAAATCGGTAATAATTCTCGACAGTTTTATCCGTTTTTCGAATTAAACGTCGGGGATGAACGTAGAAATTGCTTCTTGGGATTTTGATGTATCGGGTTAAATCTGGAGGTTTGTTTTTGTGATTAATTCTGGGGGTTTTATATGGGGTTAAATCTGGGGGGTTAAATCTTAGGGGGGTTTGTGTCGTCCCGAGATGGATTTGATGGTAGTGAGGTGGATAAGAGCTCACAAATTGTCGATTTTATCCACTTGTCGTGCATCAATCCCCCGTTCGTTTCCTGTAGTTTTGAGACGATTTTGTTGTCCCTTATCCACCCCAAAGGAAGATAAAATAACCCATCTAGTTAACTGGGACAAATTATCTGTTTCCATTATCCACCCCAATCCAAAATTATAACGACTTAACAGATACGGATTACATATTTTTATCCATTATTCACCCTAGGCCAAAAACCTCTAACGAGTCAATGGGAAGAAGAATCGTTTATACTCGGACAAACGACAGAAGCGATGACGAATTAATAAGAGCTTGTGTATGTCTTCGCAACTTCAGCCTCTAGTTGACCATGTTTCCGCCAGTAACCCAATCTATATTTCTACGCTATACTGACATTAATAACTTTACGAGTTTTTATTGATTGTTTGTTTATTATTATTGGTATACAGTGGAACCTCTTTATAATGGATTTCTCTCTCCGTATAACCCATTGGGGGGTTTTTACATATAACGGGACCTCGATATAATGGACTTTCATCTCTATATAGTTCGTTATATGGGGGTTTTACATATAACGGACCCTCGATATAATGGACTTTTATCTCCATATAGTCCGTTAAATAGACGTTCCACTGTATGCATATGTATAGGTATATTGTTAATAAGTTAGATGTACTAACCCTAGAAATAGCTTTTATATGGATATCCGCTTATGTATACTGTATCCGATACATGACAACAAGCGGATTTGATGGATGGGACGGACGCGCACGGTTGATTGGTTGACAGGTTCTCCGTGGCCTGAAATTTTAGAGAAAGAAAGATAGCTCAATCCTGTGGCTCCATCCTACCCATTAAGTCGATGTTGTGCCTATTATTGTGTGTTAGGGTTAGTTTAGGTTAGGTTAGGGTAGGTTATGGTTAGGTTAGTTTCACAGAGGTTTTAAAAATAGCCTCGATTCCTGAGCAATGTCGGGTTATATATGCAGAAATAATATGAAATTTTATCTTAATTTTGAAATATTGAGGTAAATCATCTACAGTTCCTCCCAGAATTACGACGGGGTTAGGGACCCAAATCCAGGTCGTAAGTTGAAAATGCTTAAATAATACATATAAAATCTAAAATGGGTGTCTCTTTTTTTCTTCTCAGCACCACAAAACTCTCACTTTTAAGCTTGCCAGCCATTTTAAGGTGAATTACAAATGAAAATTTTGTCAGTACACAGCGCGATCACTGACGTTGGGACTCGAAAATACGTAATTTGACAAAATTTTGGTACGAATGAGGCGGTCGTATGTCCGGGTGGTCGTAAGTCGGGGAGGAGCTGTATTAGGATTGTTAATACGTTAGCTATATTATATTATGGGTTAATAGATACATATATTACTTTTGATTTTGATTTAGAAATATTATGGTGAGCAACTTATCAGGATTTTTTTGACATTAGGATAATTGTAAAGTGTAATTATGACCAACAGATGAAAGTATTTGTAGTTACTTGATAATCTGTGCTATTTAGGTCAACCATATTTACTTACTGCACCGGCTAGAACGACCTAAGTACCCCGACGACTCTCTGTAATCTCTTGTTTGTTTACCTCTCGTGACGGCCGATGGCGACTCGGTTGTTTTGGCTATAGTATGGGAATAATCCACCAGATGGCGTCGATATTACGTGAAGACTGTAAATATTGAGATTTTCTTCGCTTTTTTTAAATTAAAGATGTGATTTTTTTTGCTTTTATTTATATAATTGAAATCAAATTATATCGAAACTCTACCTCAGTGATATTCCTTTACGATATAGGAATAATTGAAGTAAAATCACCCCGAGGATCTACCTTATGTGAGGAGTGAGCCGCCGGTCGTGCGGTGAGAGGGAACATACAGAGAGCAGCAGAGAACGTCGGGGTGTGGGCCGTTGACATAATACTGTACTAACTCCTCTGGTTTTTTCTCTGCTCCTCCTCCTGCCTCCTACCTCCCTCCTCCCTGGCGCTGCTTGCTCATTGGCCGGCTGACTGACTGACTTGCTCGCTGGGTGGGGGGTGAAAACAAACTTCCTTTCTCGCTCGTTCTCTCACCAACCGTAGTTCATGTTTGGAAGTCTTTGCCGTGTCCATGCCAGATGCCACAAGGTTTGTTCTTCGCTCGGTTTGTGGCTTGAATTGCACGTCTTGCCCTCTGATGGTCTGACTGCTTGCGGCGGTCTACACTTAGTTTGCATGAATTCCTGGACGTGGGTTGCATGCGCCGCCCCCTTTGGTCTGACTGCTTGCGACGGTCTACACTTAGTTTGCATGCCATCCTGGACGTGGGTTGCATGCGCCGCCCCCTTTGGTCTGACTGCACGTGCCAATCTTGGTCATACATGCCTCTACTTTGGATTTGATTGCATGCAACACTCATCCACCACTGTGCATACCATCTCTTGAAATACATGCAACACTCATCCACCACTGCATACCACCCACTTTAAATACATGCAACACTCATCCACCACTGCATACCACCTCCTCTGAATACATCCATCAATCATCCATAACTCAGCTCTCAGAAGTACTTATTAAAATCTTTCAATGTAGATTAAGAACTAAATGGATTATTCTACGTAGTTATTTCCTCTGTAAGTCTCTATAAAGACCCCTGTAGGTGTGAGGGTGTGTACAGTAGACAAGACATAACCTAGCCCAACCTAACGTAACCCAACCCAACCCAACACAACACAACACAACACTTGCATCTTGAGTATTTGCCACTAACACAACCTTGTATTAGTGTGACTTGCATCGACTTGATCGTAGAAAGATTCATAAGTTAGTTATTGAGGCAGATGATATGACAAATTATTTTTAAGTTAGATTTTAATTAACCCCTTGAGTATGGTGTCTTAACCCCTTGAGTATGATGACTTAACCCCTCGAATAGGATGACTTCATACTCAAGGGGTTAAGCCATCATACTCAAGGGGTTAAATCATCATACTCAAGGGGTTAAATCATCATACTCAAGGGGTTAAACCATCATACTCAAGGGGTTAAACCATCATACTCAAGGGATTAAACCATCATACTCAAGGGGTTAAACCATCATACTCAAGGGGTTAAACCATCATACTCAAGGGGTTAAAAGCTTACAAAAATAAAAATTAAATAAAAATTTCAAATTGCCGCAAGATCTTGCTGTGGATATGCGGCCACAGCAATCACCATCCCCCATTATTAAGAGGCAATGGTTTGCATCTTAAGCCCCCGGTCCCTGCCCCTTCCCACGCTCGACCCATCTGTGAATAGGTACCAAACTTGGATTATTATCGGACAGTGCAGCGTAATAGTGTCCGATTATACCGTCCCGTAACTGACTGTATTTTTGAGTATTCTCCGACAATTCCCTCCCACATAATCTTCAACAATTCCCTCCAACAATTCCCTCCCACAATCTAACCAGCCAATCTCTACCCAACAACCTGTATCGAGAATAATGCCTCAATCTGCGATGTATGCCTGTTACTCTGTATTCAGTTGTCAGGGCATTACAGGGGCATATTGGAAGGTGAGGTTGATGTGCATGTATTTTGATTGTATTTTTGTTGTATTGTATTGTATTCTGAAGCAGGGGATACACAGTGAAACCTCTTTATAATGAATTTCTCTATACTGTATAATCTGTGAGAGGGGGGTTTCATGTTTAACGGAACCTCGATATAATGGATTTTCCTCTCTAGATAGTTCATTAAATAGAGGTTTCACATCTAACGGAACCTCGATATAATGGACTTTCCTCTCTAGATAGTCCATAAAATAGAGGTTTCACAGCTAACGGAACCTCGATATAGTGTAATTGACCATTTCCTTCACTTGGTATGGTTAAGTTAGGTTTAGGGGTACAGGTGTGTTCCTCCCCTAATAAAAATGACTATACGTACAGAAGTGAGTGGATCGGGCAGTGGCAGTTCACGACACAGCTCGGAGACCGGCGGAGACTCGAGGAGAGGAGGCGGAGGCTCGGAAGACTACGCGGAGATCGTTGATGATGAGGGCGACTATTCCACGCCTGCAAGTGAGTGTATTGGGGTCTTGTTTGTACTCAGTCAACAGGTATATATAGTACTCTAAGTCTGGTACCCTGTTGTATGGTATTTATTTAAGGCAACAGATATGCTAAGTGTGGTACCCTGTTGTCTGTTATAGTATTGAAGCAACAGATATGTCGCCAAAAAAATATTATACTGTGTTTTGATGTGAGGGAAAGGAATGTTTGACCCCCATACACCAGGTGTTAGTATACTATCACCACTAACACCTTCACTACAGGGACGACACTTTTAATATTAACAAAACAACAGATGATTTTATTCAGCTCAGAGGTGACCCCATACACAACACAAAACAACTTCACCCTAACTCTCTATCTCTCTCTCTATCTCACTCTCTATCTCACTCTCTATCTCTCTCTCTCTCTCCCTCAGCCAAAGATTATGAGCTGGAGAGATCCCACATAGACGTCGGGGAGATCATCGGAGAGGGACAGTTCGGGGACGTACACACAGGGCAGTACACATCGCGGGACGGCTCCTCTGAACCAGTCGCCATCAAGACGTGCAAAGTGGAATCGGAGGGAACTATAGCGGAGAAATTTCTAGAAGAGGCGTGTAAGTGTCTCTACCTGACGTCTTGATGCTCCTAAATATGCTCTTTATCTCTTGATGCTCCTACGTAATATTGTACTATGCTCATTATCTGTTGCTCTTAAATATGCTTTTTATCTGTTATGTAATACTGTGCTCTTTATCTGTTAATGCTCCTAAATATGCTCTTTATCTGTTGATGTTTCGGATATTATGCAACAGTTCGACCACTCATATAACTGTCGACTGTGTGAGTGTAGATTATTGACCTATTCACCTCTCGACTGTAGTGGATAGACTATTGACTGTTGCTGTGACTGTCGACTGTATTCGGATAGATTATTGACCCGTTCTTGTCGACGTTTCAGATATCATGCAACAGTTCGACCACCCGCACATTATCAAGCTCATCGGCATCTGCTCGGAGTCTCCCATATGGATCGTCATGGAGCTGGCTAGATACGGGGAAATGCGAGCCTTCCTCCAGAACAACAAGGACCACCTCAATCTGGCGACCCTGGTACTCTACGCCTTCCAGCTCTCCACAGCCTTGTCCTATCTAGAGAGTAAAAAGTTTGTCCATAGGTACGTGTCATAGCCTATAACCTAAAACCTAAAACCTAACTTTACCTCGCATGTTTTAATCTCTCTCGTTTTTATATATGAAATTTCGATGATATAATTTACGTTTTTTATCGTTTATCAATTATCTTTAGTCTATCCTTTAGTTTAATTCTGGGATATATGGCCAAAGCTATTACATTGGCAGGGATGTTATTTACCGCAATCAATCAATCGATCATTCGCTCAACTGTTTGTTTTTCCTACAGGGACATTGCGGCCAGGAACGTATTGGTCTACTCTCAGGACTGCGTTAAATTGGCGGACTTTGGCCTCTCCCGCTGGGTCGAGGAGCAGAGTTACTACAAGGCCAGCAAGGGGAAGCTTCCTATTAAGTGGATGGCACCCGAGAGCATCAATTTTAGACGTTTTACTAGTGCCAGCGATGTTTGGATGTTTGGTAAGGATATTTAAGGATATTTGTGTCGTTTTATTGATGTTTTACGATTGCCAGCGATGTTTGGTAAGAATATTTGTGTAGTTTTATTGATGTTTTACGATTGCCAGCGATGTTTGGTAAGAATATTTGTGTAGTTTTATTGATGTTTTACGATTGCCAGCGATGTTTGGTAAGAATATCTGTGTAGTTTTATTGATGTTTTACGATTGCCAGTGATGTTTGGATGTTTGGTAAGGATAATGTATGTATATATGTGGTGTATACTCATAAAATACTCCCAACAGGTGTATATATGTGGTTATACTCATAAAATACTCCCAACAGGTGTATGTATGTGGGAGATCCTTATGCTAGGTGTGAAACCATTCCAAGGAATCAAAAATAACGACGTCATCAAGAGGATCGACAACGGAGAGAGACTTGCCCTACCCGCTAACTGTCCGCCGCGGCTCTACTCCCTCATGTCTCAGTGCTGGACCTACGAGCCGTCGAAACGTCCGTCATTTAAGGAGATCAAGGAAGCACTCAAGTATGGAAGATTTTATTGGGTTCGGGTTCAGTTAGGTTGGGTTCGGGTTCAGTTCGGTTAGGTTGGGTTCGGGTTCAGTTCGGTTAGGTTAGGTTGGGTTCGGTTAGATTGGGTTAGGTCAGGTTAGGATGGGGTTGGTTTCGGTTGGGTTAGGTTAGATTAAGTATAGCCTCCCGAAAGCTTTGGATGGTGTACAGACGCCATAGGTACTTCACTCCTGAGCAGTTGGTTCAAGTATATAAGGGATTCTTTCGTCCTAACTTGGAGTACTGATCTCATATCTGGGGTGGCCTCTGTTAGATAGAGTGGAATCAAAGGCATTTTAACTCTCCTCCTTTAGTTGATAATCTTTCTTCCCTTAACCTAACCTATAACTCCCTCCATGTTATGAGTCGCGGTGTAATGTACGTTTACCTTTCCAGTGAGATCTTACGCGAGGAAAGAATACAACACCAGGAAACGATGCGTCGAGAGAACCGCCGCGTCCAGGGCATGTCTTGGGGTATGTTGTGATTAGGAGTGGGTCAGCCATATCTACATCCAGTCACCCATCTGTGTAACTGTTCATCTAATGAGTCATCCATCTGTTTATTTATCCAGCCATTGAGTCATCCATCCAGTCCATAAGTTCCATTTTTATCCTAATTTATAACTACAAGATAACTAATCAAAGTCAATTTAAGTAACTAATTATTAAGTGGTTATGTTATAGATGTTAGTGGTGTATTTTATAAGTTGAAGAGAAGAAATTAAAACAGTTTATTGAGTCAGAAACATTGGAACAGTTTATTTAGTCAGAGAAACATTGAAACAGTTTATAGAGCCCATAAAAAACAGTTTATTTAGCCAGTAAAACATGAAGTAACGACAGTATACACAGCGGAAATTAATAAGAACAGATATATTGAGAACTTTAATTCATTTTTTTTTGTTTAGTAGTTTTTAGGTCACGTTTGTGTATTTAAGTCCCCGTGGGCGTAGGGCTAACGGCGATATTTTCAGCAGGTTCCGATGAGCCTCCGCCGAAGCCAGCTAGAGTCCCGATGATGTCCGGGGGCCGAGGACACACGTCAACGCCCCCGCCGCCGTCCGGTCTGGGCTCGCCGCCTCTCTACGCCCCGTCTCAGGTCAGTAGCAGCGGCCCGACCACCTACATCGTCGCCCAGACCCCAGAGGTGCTCAGTCAGCTGATGCGCGACAACCACAACCGGGCCGCCAACGCTCCCGGCTCCTACATCTCCCCGGCCTCCGTTCTCAACACCCTGCCCGTCGATTTCGTCAACGCCCCGCGCTCCCCCCCGGCCGTCACCACCTCCCAGTCTAACCCCCACTCACCCTTCTCCACCCTCACCCACCCTCAGTCTTCCACCCACTCCCTCCCTCATCATAGCAGCAGTCACTATTCCCCCCACTCCACCCTATCCGCCCCCCACTCTCCTCTCGGGTCCCCCTCTGGGGCGTCCGCCAGGCGTCGGGGCGGGCGGGGCTGCACACTGGAACGCGGGGCATCGGCTGCGGCGGGTGGAGGGGGCTGGGGAGGAGCCAGTTCGGGAGGTTCCGGCTCACCTTCGCCAGTTCCCTTCTCGCCGCCGTCAACACTAGTCAAGGTTGGGTTGCGTTGTGACGTTAGCCGAGGCACGTTGACGCTGCACGACCATAGAACCACCATAGCGTCCACCAGCATGTCGGTGTTAGCATGGAGGGGGGGGTAGGGGAGGCAAGAGGCATACACAGCTGTCACGTCACCCACACGACTCGTTCTCTCCCTCGTACTTCACGCAGCGACGTAGTTCTTGTTGTTGCACCGTTCTGAGATCATTAACCCTAAATAAACCTAAGTTATCACCCCCCTGCATACACCAGTCAGGGCCCGGTCTAATGAAGTCGGTTAAACTGTCACATCGGTAACAACAGCCAATCACAGCACAGTCCTAATAACAACAGCCAATCACATAACAGCCCCAATAACAACAGCCTATCACAACACGTCGTAACTCCAGTCTAAAATATAAGAGCCAGTCACATCGAAACCCCAGTCTAGGAAAACGTAAACACACAAAACAAAAGCATTAGTTCAGCGTGTAAGAAAAACAGGTCGAATATCTCGTTAGTCGTTGCACTGAATCCATATGTAAATAAACCATCCTCTACGGCACAAGTTTGGCTTCGCGTTGCATCGAGAGTTAGAGCTTTGTAGGGCATTGCAGAGTTAATGTTAGTTAATAAGTATCTTGTAGTGTTAATTTGGTTAATAAATATGTTAGTGTTAGTTTGATTTATAAATATGCTGCAGAATTTAGCTTTATAAGATGAATAGTTTACTAAAGTATAAGAAACTAGTAATATTTCCTTTGTAAATAAGTCAGGATATTGTTCATTTGATTCAGCGTTTCTCTAGTTGTAGATAAAATATCCCGAGTTTTTCATTGAATTGCTTATAGACGCGGAGACTGGTTCATCATTACTTTGAACTTCATAACATTGGGATTTAGCTATCGTCTTGTCGCTTGCTGTCTGTGTGTGTGTGTGTGTGTTTATGGGGCGTACGTCTGTTGGGGTGTTGGTGCATGACGCTAGACTGGGGTATGGATTGGTTGGTGGGGGGGGGGGTATTTTGTGGACGGTGAGAGGTGTATTGGGATGCCTTCGGTGAGACAGGGTACAGTCCATCCACCCTATACTGTACTAGGTTAAGTCGTAGGGTTATTTTCCACATGTAACGGACCCTCGACATAATGGACTTTCATCTCTATATAGTTCATTATATGGAGGTTTTACATCTAACGGACCCTCGACATAATGGACTTCCCTTCCCATATAATCCATTAAATCGAGGTTTCATTGTACTTCAATACCGTTCACTGTTAATTATAAAAAATACCGGACTTGTTGCCAGGATTTGGCTCTATTACGTGACTTCATTTATCCATCCGCCCTCTCAGGAACCAGATAGGGGTTTGACGAGTAGACGAAGACACACTCGGACATATTTCACTCCTTCAACTCTACGATTGATTTGATTGATCGAGGTAAATGACTTTCCTGACTTTAAGCTGTGATAATGATGCCATATCTCCCTTATCTAAGTTCCAGTAATGAAACTTTATCAATTAAACAACTCACATCAAAGTTCCAATAATGAAACTTCACCTCAGAACACAACCAGAATTTCCACAACACATCCAAAGTCTTCACAACACCATGAATTTTAATATACTTTTTTTAAGCATGTATAATCCCCATAAAGGCATGTATATGTATGATCAAGAAGCTTATGAATAACTGATCATAAATAAAGCATTGAAGACTTTACTTAAATATGTATAGGAGAGGAATTTGTCCCATTCATCATGTCTATATTACGGAGAAGAAATTAATTGTTTTTTTTTATATATTATTTTTCCGTGGTTTGTGTACTGAGGGTAATAATCAGCCGTGAAATTAGTCAACATTTTCTACACGATGATAATTTTGTAATAATATTTACCATACGATGATTATATAGCAATGGTCGTGCTTCAATAATATTAATAATAATAATTGACAATCAACATTCTTACTAATCAACTTTGTCAAGAAGTATAGAAGCCATAACTCATCAATACCCCAAAGACATTAGAAACGCTTAAAATCCCTCCTTTTCCTACGTCAACAGACCCCCCCAGACCCCAGACCCCCACACGTCTTGTAATAGTGGAGAATTATGGGTAAATGACACGAAAGACATTACATGTATTTACATTTTAGACTTAATCGTAAATTTCACTCCTGTAAATCGTAGACTTCACACACACACACACACACACCCACACACACACCCGCACACACACCCGCACATATACGCACACACACACAGACCCCCCTCCCCCCTTGTGTGTACTCAGGCCACCAGCTGTATGATAAGGCATGAGCACGTTGTCGTAAGTAAACAGATATATATTTTTGTTGTTGTTTACATCTTTTGTTTATTTATTCGATGCACTGAATTATCCGTTGAAATCTGCCATCTCTCTGTGTTTATTTTTAAGAGACTTTTCCCGACTCTTTCCAGCACTTTGAATTATTCCACCCAGACTATTTCTACTCTTTCAGATAAATGATTTAATAAATAATTAAATCTTCAGGAATTATCTATAAATACAGTCGCTCGGAGAAACTATCTCAACTTGGGGTCGTCCGTTGAATTTCAGAATGAACTCGAGACTCCTATTGGCTCTCGTGTTGTCAAAATACTTCATCGAACGTGTCATATTTCACGTCAATCCCTTATAAATAGTTTCCTCGAGTGACTGTCTGTCCAATATTTTAATTCGCTTGATCTAAATAATAAAAACTAATGAGAATTTTTATTTTTTTTAAGAATATCGTCATTGATTCGGTAATGTTGTTTTATACGTGGAATTAATGATGGTACGAGTATGTTGATATGAGGTTAGCGGTTGTGTATGGTGCTATGGTAAAGGAGGAAGGAGGGCTATGGTGTATGGTGGTGTGGTAAAGGAGGAAGGAGGGCTATGGTGTATGGTGGTGTGGTAAAGGAGGAAGGAGGGCTATGGTGTATGGTGCTATGGTAAAGGAGGAAGGAGGGCTATGGTGTATGGTGGTGTGGTAAAGGAGGAAGGAGGGCTATGGTGTATGGTGCTATGGTAAAGGAGGAAGGAGGGCTATGGTGTATGGTGGTGTGGTAAAGAATGAAGGAGGGATATAATGGTGTGGTTTGGGTGTATGGTGATGTGGTTGTATGGTGTGTGGTTGTATAGTGTGTGGTTGTATAGTGTGTGGTAAAGAATGAAGGAGTGAAATAAGGATGTTATGGTGATATTAACTAGATATTTGAGTTATTATTGTTAGTTAATTTATATATATTTGGTCAAGTAAATTATCATATTGATATATTCTCAACCTACAGTGACAAAATGGCTGAAGAAAATTGACATAAGATCAATTTAATTTCTTATAGATGAACGTTATGATTTGTTAAGCGATTACAAGTGAACATAAAGCAATCGGAACTATTTTGTATTTTGCACGATGGCCTGAATGTCCCGCGTGTAAACTTTCTTCAGCCACTTTGTACACGTGTGCGGCTTTTCTGTGTGTGTTTATTTACGTATTTCTGTTATTGTCCGCGTAAACACCGCCATTTCTTTTTCAGAGTCCCGCTTAAACACACGGTGCTCAAGGGAAACGTTACTTGTTGTGTTTTATAGATTAGCGTGGCGGACGTGTGTATGTTTGCGTTAGAATAGCAACATCGTCCTCATGAGACATTGAGGACGATGTTGCCGTCATAACATGAACGCCCACTCCGTTCGCGTTAGAATAGCAACATCGCCCTCATGAGACATTGAGGACGATGTTGCCGTCATAACACGAACGCCCACTCCGTTCGCGTTAGAATAGCAACATTGTCCTGACTTGTGGTACACCTCACACCCATACATCACACAGGACAATGTTGCCCATCCTAACACAAACATCCACACGACCACCAAGATCTATAACCCACAGTGTAACCATTCCTGGAACACATTGATATGGACCATTAATTTATTCTGCTATGATAAAAATATATAATTTGCTCTCTCTGTATATTGCCTTTTGAACGAATGCTCTCCCGATACTCCACCGATTATATCGTGGAGGCTTGAGAAATGTATACCGATATTTTTAATTTGTTTTTTGCACTGTTTTTCAATCGGCACTTTGCTTTTAGTTCTTTGGCATATCACATAGAAGCTACTGTGAGATTTTTAAATACACCTTTTAAATTATATGTAAATTATACCTTTTAGTAATGATTATAGAGAATTGTTGTATAATTGGTATCTAGATGTATTATATCCTTTTAATTATATGTAAATTATACCCCTCAGTAATGATTATAGAAGAATGTTATAACTTGTACTGTTTTAGTGTTATATGTAGTTATAGATGATTATAGGTATATAGTTGTTTCTATGGTAATATATCGAGGTAAAGATTATGTTGTTCTGGTAGAGTATGGTAGCCATTATGTGTCTGTTTGTTGATGGGTGGTTAGGTTAGGTTGGGGTGCGTCAGGTCAGGTCAGGTGTCATAAAAAGCCTCCATGGAAATAGTTATAGTTCCTGGACTCACATACATGCACAAACACACACAGATACACACTTACACAGACATGAAGAAACACACACACACACACACACACACACATACACACACACACACACACACACACACACACACACATCAAAACACAACAAAAATTTTAACTTGCTGATAAAATTATGACAAATTCTTCTAAGGGAAAAATTGCCGCTGTTGGAAATATTCTTACTATTGCATTTAATTAATAGTTTAGGGGTAATTATCTAGTTAATGGGGTCGACTTGGGGGTCATTACCGGCATGAGGTTAATTACCAGGTTCTAATGATGTCGTTAATGAGGAGTTAAGATTACAGTAGACAAAAGGAACAGTTATTAATTAATTTTTTATGTTGAATGGTTTATGTAGTTGATAGTTAATTTACCAACTAGCTATACAGGTAGTTAGGATAGAAACATCAGAGTTAATTAATTGGTTAACGACCTTTGGTGAAAGTGAAACGAGGTGATAATTCTGGTCCACACAGCGTCAGGGTAGTCATCACAGCGACTCGGGGGATTGGATGCCCGGGGCCGGTAGTCTTGGCGGGCCGAGCAGCTTGGCCGGGTCGGGGATGCCTGCGGACGTGGCTGAACTGCAGCACAAACTCTTGGAACAACGACTGAGGCAACAACAACGACAGACGGAAGAAGATAACCGCTGGCTTGCTCATGAGGAGAATAATATGGTGAGTCGCAGGATCAACCAATCAGAGTACAGTCTCCATATCTGAGGGTTGGTGACCACATACCTCTAAACATTCTCCGACTATTTTAACCAATTCTTAAGTTATTTTGTTACTCTAGGGGTTATACCACGTAATTATCATTCTAATAATTACCTTCATCATCTAGAGAGGGTAATTACCTCATGATTATATGATAAGAGATGATGCTCTTACGTTAATGGGAATGTAATTAACGTACGCTCGGTCATCTAATGTAATCATACACAACTTGTATTTACCGAATTATTTGATGTATTCATTCTTCATTGTACAGAGGAAACGTAGATCTATACTTATAAAAAATCATACAGTGTATATTCATCATCTATATGACTTACACAGAGGAAATGTATACATGGTTGAATAGTCAACCACACGACGTATTTTCCATCTACAGAGGAAGCGAATGTCTCTAGCCATGAGCGCCTCGGACAAATCCGACTCCGACAGCGATTCCCCGGTTGCTCACCACCCTCCCTCCTCCCCCTCCCCCGCACGGACAGAGGACAGGGAGAGATCCGCCACTCCGCTATCCAATGGATCCGGATCTGTAGCGGAAGAGCCAAAGATTGTTGTTAAGGTGAGAGAATTGTTCGTTGATGTGATTTTGTTTTGGTTTATACATTAGCCTCGTGAAAGTAGTCGATTGTTATTATTAAACGATTGATTTCCGAGTAATAATTGATGTATAATGTTGATGGATGAGAATTGTTCGTTGATGTGATTTTGTTTTTGGGTTTATACATTATTAAACTCGTTATTTATTCATTGTAATCGATATATAATGGCCTATGGTGGATTATGTGAGGCAACAGAAATACTATAGACATTAGGGTCATTGTTGTGGAAAGTGAACACCATTATAGATCACATAGATTATAACAGTGAAAGTGAATGATAGTAAATGACAGCGTAGAGGAAAAATCCCCTCGAGATAGCAGGAAAGAGACGGACGTTAGCGACACCTTAAACACGCTGACACGATCCAATGTTATTCTCGCCCCGACAGCAAGTAGAGCCAACTCCAACGGCAGATTTAGACCGCAGTAACGACAAGGTCTACGCGTCGACCATTCACGTCGTCAAGGCCATAACGGCCCTCACCCAGGACGTGAAGGAGGGCCAGATGCAGAATTACCTCGACCACGTGAAGAAGGTCGGATTGGAATTAAGGGATCTCTTGGCCACGGTTGACACCCTCGTCTCGACCATCCCGCCCGTTTCACACAGAGAGGTACGTCGTGGGTGTAAATAAACCTAACCTAACCCCTCTTCACCCTAGTTTATTTCACCTGATGCTCAAACACCCTAATCCTACCTGGCAGATTAGATTAAGTCAGGTCAGGTCAAGTAAGTTTAGCATGAGGGCGTTTTAATCATTGTATGAATTAAACTAGGGGTGCTAATCTTCAGGTGATCCATCAGTTGAAGTAATTGTTAATATATTCACAAATTTAGCATCATTATTCACGCATTCATTATATATATCTATTGTCTTTTTGGCTCATAATCATCATCACTATTATTTATATCAATTATACATTCATTATATAAATCTATCATCATTCTTAACCACCATCACCAATAAACCGTCCACACAAACTCATTACAAGTGTGATCTTCTCCCACCAGGTGGAGTTAGCGCATAAGGTGCTATCAAAAGACATGACAGACTTGGTGCAGGCGTACAAACTGGCCCAGAAGTACAGCAACACCACGCTTGACGAGGAGTACCGAAAGTAAGCTGTGGCCGAGTGACTTAACAAACAGTAGGGTAGAAAAGTAAGCTGAGGCCGAGTGACTTAACAAACAGTAGGGTAGAAAAGTAAGCTGAGGCCGAGTGACTTAACAAACAGTAGGGTAGAAAAGTAAGCTGAGGCCGAGTGACTTAACAAACAGTAGGGGTAGAAAAGCAAGCTGACGAGGCCGAGTGCAACTTAACAAACAGTAGGGTAGAAAAGTAAGCTGAGGCCGAGTGACTTAACAAACAGTAGGGTAGAAAAGTAAGCTGAGGCCGAGTGACTTAACAAACAGTAGGGTAGAAAAGTAAGCTGAGGCCGAGTGACTTAACAAACAGTAGGGTAGAAAAGTAAGCTGAGGCCGAGTGACTTAACAAACAGTAGGGTAGAAAAGCTGAGGCCGAAGACTTAACAAACAGCCGAGTGACTTAACAAAACAGTAGGGTAGAAAAGTAAGCTGAGGCCGAGTGACTTAACAAACAGTAGGGTAGAAAAGTAAGCTGAGGCCGAGTGACTTAACAAACAGTCTCTCGACTCTTTATGCTGGAGTTATTATCAGAGTGTGTTAGGTGGATAGGGAGTGTGTTGGGTGGATGAAGAGCGTGTTGGGATGTGTTAGGACGGCAAAGATTCTAGACGCATAAGACGTAATCGAGTTAATATTTATTTCAGTTCCAGTTTATGACTTTGTGTTTGTGTGTTCCAGGCAGCTGCTGTCTGCCGCGCACGTCCTGGCCATGGACTCCAAGAACCTGCTAGACGTCATCGATGGCGTCAGAGTGAGGCACGACATGGCAGCCTTCTTGCCAAACAAACATTCCGCTGTGTAATTGAAAACCCCCTACACAACCCCCCCCCCCTCCCCGGCAGACGGCACCTGTGCGTACGTTCCTCCGAGGCGACGCGGCACCGGTGGAATCGACGTTTGCTCACGACGCTCAACGCCCATTGACGATGGATCAAAATTAATGTGGAATATATAACCGTTGTGACACCCTCTTACGGACGGCAAGGTCACGTTCTGCTGATTATAGGCTATTTGTATATAATTTACGGGGCAGTTTGTACCGCACGTGACCGCGGCCATCCGACGTAGTGCACTCAAGCTCACGGGGAAGAACACCGAGCTTTCCTTCACCCGGGCGCGGCGTAGGAGGGGCCGCGACTACAGGTGTCAGATGTTTTTAATTAATAGTATTTCTTTCTTAGCTGTCGCTGTATGGATGACGTAACCGAGTCACATTGTGAGAGTTACTTCACCTCGATGTGATGCTTAAACGTCGGTCGGGCTACCGACTCCGACCCCAGGCCGTTTCTCTACTGTATATTAAGACGACAGCATCACGCCACGCACCGCACGTCCCTCGTGGCGTTGAGTACCGAGACGACAACACCACTCCGCTCACAAGGTGTTCCCGTTACTGCGAGATATTCGGAAGTTGGTGCAGACGACGTGGGCGTATGCATCGCGTCGTGCACGAGATGTTTACATTTTTCCTTGCGATGATTATGGGGATCTTGTTTGTGTGTGTGGCGTTGTGTCTCAGGCCGACGTAATAATCTCAACTGATGATAAGAGGATCCCAGTTATATTGCCTCTCTCTCTCTCTCTCTCTGTCTCTCTGTCTCTCTGTCTCAACTCCCTGCCTCTCTCTCTCTCTCTCTCTGTCTCTCTGTCTCTCTCTCTCTCTCTCTCTTGAACCAAACTCATGAGTGGTAACAGCTCACATTCTTTACATTTATTCCATTATTTATTGACACATAATTTTACAAGAACAATTACTTATAATAATGATTGATTTATTTTACTTCATAAACACGAAAGAATGTCGAGAAATAATTGATGAATTGGTTCTTGTTGATACCATGTTGTCAATCTGAGGCCAAGCTTGTAATATGAGTCGAAGCTTGTCACCTGAATCAAAGCTTGTCATATGAGTTGAAGCTTGTCATCTGAATCAAAGCTTGTCATATGAGTTGAAGCTTGTCATCTGAATCAAAGCTTGTCATATGAGTTGAAGCTTGTCATCTGAATCAAAGCTTGTCATATGAGTTGAAGCTTGTCATCTGAATCAAAGCTTGTCATCTTAAGTCAAAGCTTGTCAATCAGAATCCAAGCTTGTCCTTCCTTAGTCATGAGTGGATCAAGCTTTCATCTGATTCTCCCAGGCGACTGATTAGCCATTCCCTCATCTCTCAATCATGATGTACCAAAACTACTCAAGACTACGGCACTATGGCAATATCCAACCCCAAGCTAAGGTATTTTTTTGATCTTGAGGATAAGATATAGACGCATCTGGTCGATATTTATCCGGCGGTCTGGCGAGTCTTCAATGTACGATTATACAAACAAACTTGCCGACACAAACTTGATATATATATATATATATGAATCTGCGGTGTATATAAGAATTTACTTCATTGAGTGTAATTATTTAATTTGACAGCCTACAAAAATAAACAATATTGACCCATATCGCTTTTTTATTTACCGTTTTTAAGTGTGGGTTAGTTTATGGCTAATTGAACGAGGTATTGGTTCGTTTGACGATTATGTGGTGTTTACATTTGATTCATCTTCGTTATTTGATTTGATTCTGTATATAAAATATTTATCATCAATTCCTTAGTATTTTTAGTTCTATTTATCCTGATATAAATAATTAATAAAAAAAAGAACCGACTCAAATATCCCGTTAACGATCAACGTGTTATATACCAGGATGATCCTCGACGTAAAAAGCTCGTAGTTAAGATTAGAACGTGGCGACAACATTAACAATACACACCTCGACTTAACCCCAGACTATCAACAACATACCCCATTTCTTTCCGTTATCCACGTTATCTGTGGTACTATGGGGTCGAATTATTGGTTGACCTTACTTAACCTTTCCTAACCTGACCTGACCTGTATACTGTAGAGAGTTATGTAGAGAGACAAATAGATAAGTTATGTAGATAGATACATATATATTTAAAACATACCGAGATATATAAACAGACGTATATTTGCACAGGCTAGTTTATTGTGCCCCTATGTATACCAAAGTACAGAAGTATTTAAGGTCAATACAGAGGTCTTATTTACCCTCTGACCTTCATAATGGGTCATTCATACAACCCAGTCAAACACAAACGGATTATTATACAATCATTACATAATTAGTTTTATTTATGTAGATTTAAGAGACTTTAGGTAGCGAAAATACAACTGGGTTAAAACCTATTGAAAAAATCTATTATCATCATTTTCATACATATATAATTATTTGTTAAAATATTCCTCTATATTTATCTCCCGTAAAGTTTCCTAAGTTAAATATTTACTGATTTTAAAATTATTCTATAAATATTAAATAAAAGATAATGAATTGGTATTAAAATTGTTCAAATTGGAGGATTATTTTAGGATTTAATTGGGTAATGTTTATAGGTAATGTTGGCAGCCATGTTGAGGAGACAGAGCGGTACAGTTGGCTCCCCTGTTTAAACCTCACTGTGTCCGAATCCCTTGACTCATTTAAACTTGAATATTCGTCTTTATATTTAATTTATTACGTAAATTTCTTCTTCATTTACAAATTTATGATTATTTCATATTATTTTTATATTACTAGATGACTAAATTGACCATAAATATTTATTAAAATTTATATATACAATGAAGTTTGTATTAAAGTTAATCATTCGGACGAGGTGGTGTGAGGGGGAGGGATGGGGGGTGGGGGGAGGGTCTATGATGGTGTTGGTAAGTCAGTTACTTCCAGGAGACTCAAGAGTGAAGACGTCTCTCTGAGCTCTACACAATGCTCCACGTTTCTTTTAAGGTATGTGTTAATTGTGGTTATATTCACGTTAGGTGTTTATATGGACGTATTTAACGATAAGTTGACCAATAACTGCTCCTTATATTGGTAAATTACTGAAGGTAATTGTTAATTGAACAATGTTGAAGTAGTTTTATCGGTCGAAGTCTTTATTCTAGTTAGTATTGTAGATATATTTAATTTCTTCACTTCTCTTTACAGATGAGAGATGTGATTGGTTGTTGGTGGAAGACCATCATCACCTCGTTCCTGTTCCATACATTGAGGTAAGTTTTGTCAACCATAATATTTTAAGGCTATTTGTTTTAAGATTTAATCAATTATTGTCTATACAGTAAAGACAAGATTTAAAATTAATTGTATAATATCAGCCTCTGGTCTATACATAACTTCTGTAGAATAATATTAAAGGAAAATCACGAACAATTTGGCTTAAGTTTTGCTAAAACTTGGTAAAGGTTTTGGTAAAATATTGTTTATAATAGTTTATAAAGAATTAAATTACAACAAGGTATTGTCGTGATAATTAGAGAAGTATTTCAATATAAAGGTAATTAGTGTATTGACTTGTGTTGACAATTTGTCTATAAAAGTTTTGATGTTTTAATTTCAGAAGTGTGGGAGGTGGAAGACCATGGCTGGGTGTTTGACATTGGCTGAAGGTTTTATATACTGGAGGTGAGCTTAATTAATAATAATAATAATAATTAACGGTTTATTGAAAGAGCATGGCAGCCGGAAGGCTGAAAATATACAATTACATAATCGGGGAATGGTTCTCTTGATTTACAAACGATGTACAAGTAACATAAGTGATACAAATATGATATATAATAATTAGGTGTTGATAATTTTTACAATGGTTGGGACTGGGCTGTTCTTGTAGCAATCAGTTCGTGCTCGTATGGGCTGGATGCGGTTGGGCAGGTGTGTGGCCAGGACAGTAGCTTGGGGCAATGCAGGTGTGCTCCATCCTTCAGGTTAGGTCAGGTGAAGCCGTGAGGTCAGGTCAGGTTAGGTCAGGTCCAGCCACACTCAGTATTGCTGTGTTTTTGTGCTTTTCCTTCGAGTTGAAATTGTCACTTTTGTATATCACTTGTGGGTTAATCGTCAATCTTTGCACTGTACTGTTGGTGTGAGGTTGTTGATAAATCCAGATGGGAAGGAGGAGATTGGGGAGGGGACGGCCCGACAGACCGGGCTGGCAGCTGTCTCCACGATCAAGAGACCACGGCCACGTTAGCGGGCAGCGCCGACTACACACGTCCTTACCCTATGAAGGCTGATGACCTGTTGCAAAAGAAGTCTGAGATTTAATTGTTATAGAAAGACTGGCATTTGGCCCGGGTTAGTAGTTTTGGCAAAGTATATATAATGTAAGAAGTTTTGTTATAGGTTTAAAAGGTTAGATTATACACATTTTTATGACTAACCTAATGCTGTCTTTATTGCAGGTTTGGCAGTTAGGTGTGAACCACATGAGTGGAGGTGTTGAGCCTGTAAAGCCAACAAGAGGAATTCTTACTATTTCGGTAAATTTTTGCGAGAAGTTTTATCATGTGTTCGATGTTAAAGCTGTTTATAATAATATGCTGTATCAGTTTAATGGTGAAAATAAATGTGGAATATAATTTACATATATATTTAAGTAAACCTTTGTTATACACTGTTGATGTTGTAGTGGACGTCTCCCCTACAACTGCGTATCGCATTCCAATGTGCCGCCTCCCCTAGCAACCAAGCGAGAGCTGTCCCCAGATGTTACCGTATCTTAGCAACGGAACTAGTCACCGGCTACTTCTCGGGTTTTCCCACCATGACTCATAGCGGCTGCTGCTGGGTATATAAGCTCTGTCTCTCCATTGAGATTCAGTCTGACCAATCTTCTTGAACAAGCAACACCTCCTCCTCTGCCGCTGCCTGGCGGTCCTCGCTCCCGCCAGCGAGCATGTCCTTCTCTGAGCTTCCTCACCAACCAACTCTCATTCTGCCCATTGTCCTGAACAAGCAACATCTCCTCCAGCAAGCTACAGTAGCTCCATCTCTGTAGATCACACACTACAGTAGCTCCATCTCTGTAGGCCACATACTACAGTAGCTCCATCTCTGTAGACCACATACTACAGTAGCACCAGCTCTGTAGACCACATACTTCAGTAGCTCCATCTCTGTAGACCACATACTACAGTAGCTCCAACTCTGTAGATCACATACTACAGTAGCACCAGCTCTGTGGACCACATACTACAGTAGCACAAGCTCTGTAGACCACATACTACAGTAGCTCCGACTCTGTAGACCACATACTACAGTAGCTCCAACTCTGTAGACCACATACTACAGTAGCACCAGCTCTGTAGACCACATACTACAGTAGCTCCATCTCTGTAGACCACATACTACAGTAACTCCAACTCTGTAGACCACATACTACAGTAGCTCCAACTCTGTAGACCACATACTACAGTAGCTCCAACTCTGTAGATCACATACTACAGTAGCACCAACTCTGTAGACCACATACTACAGTAGCACCATCTCTGTAGACCACATACTACAGTAGCTCCATCTCTGTAGACCACATACTACAGTAGCTCCATCTCTGTAGACCACATACTACAGTAGCTCCATCTCTCAGAGGTCACATACTACAGCAGTCCCAACACTGTAGACCACATACTACAGTAGCTCCATCTCTGTAGATCACACACTCATATTAGCACCAACCTGTGACCACATACTACAGTAGCTCCATCTCTGTATACCACATACTCACAGTAGCACCAGCTCTGTGTGACTCACATACCACAGTAGCTCCATCTCTGTAGATCACACACTACAGCAGCACCAGCTCTAGACTACATACTACAGTAGCATTCAGCCTAGACCACATACTACAGTAGCACAAGTTTCTGTAGACCACATACTTCAGTAGCACCAGTTTCAGACCACATACTACAGAAGCTCCAGCTCTAGACCACACACTACAGTAGCACCACAGCTTCAGACCACATACTACAGTAGCACCAGCCTAGACCATATACTACAGTAGCACCAGCCTCTGTAGGACCACATACTACAGTAGCTCCAGCTCTGTAGATCACGTACTACAGTAGCTCCAGCTCTATAGACCACATGCTACAGTAGCACCAGCTCTGTAGATCACATACTACAGTAGCACTAGCTCTGTTGACCACATACTACAGTAGCTACAGCTCTGTAGACCACATACTACAGTAGCACCAGCTCTGTAGACCACATACTACAGTAGCACCAGCTCTATGGGCACTTTGATAGCACCACCTCTGTGAGCATACTACAATGCTTTTCAGCTCTCAGCAGGCCACATACAATGCTGTCTGTAGACCACATACTACAGTAGCACCAGCTCTGTAGACCACATACTACATCAGCTCTGTGGACCACATACTACAGTAGCTCCATCTCTGCCAGACCACATACTGCAATGCTTTCCAGCTCTGTAGACCACATACAGTAGCACCAGCTCTGTAGACCACATACCATTGCTTCCAGCTCTGTAGACCACATACAGTAGCACCAGCTCTGTAGACCACATACTAGTAGCTCCATCTCTGTAGACCCACATACCCACAGTAGCTCCATCTCTGTGAACCACATACTACAGTAGCACCAGCTCCTGTAGACCACATACTACAGTTAGCACCAGCTCTGTAGACCACATACTACAGTAGCACCAGCTCTGTAGACCACATACTACAGTAGCACCAGCTCTGTCGACCACATACTACAGTAGCTCCATCTCTGTAGCCAGGCCACACACATGCCACAGTAGCACCAGCTCTGTAGCAGGCCACATACTACAGTAGCACCAGCTCTGCCAGACCACATACTACAGTAGCACCAGCTCTGTAGACACACACATACTACAGTAGCACCAGCTCTGTAGAGCACATCTACAGTAGCACCAGCTCTGTAGAGCACATACTACAGTAGCACCAGCTCTGTAGACCACATACTACAGTAGCATAACTCTGTAGACCACATACTACCGTGTACCAGCTCTGTAGACCACACTACAGTAGCACCAGCTCTGTAGATCTGTCTTACAATGCTTTCAACTCTGTAGACACGCCTACAGTAGCACCAGCTCTGTAGACCACATACTGATAGCTCCATCTCTGTAGACCACATACTTCACAGTAGCACCAGCTCTATGGAGCACATACTACAAGTAGCTCCATCTCTGTAGACCACATACTACAGTAGCACCAGCTCTGTACACACATACTACAGTAGCACTGTCTGTAGACCATACTGATAGCACCAGCAGCTCTGTGAGACCACACATACTACAGTAGCACCCGGCTCTGCTGGAGACCACATACTACAGTAGCACCAACTCTGTGAACCACATGCTACAGTAGCAGCTCTGCCAGACCATACTACAGTAGCACCAGCTCTGTAGACCACACATGCTACAGTAGCACCAGCTCTGGCCAGACAACATGCTTCAGTAGCTCAGCTCTGTAGACCACATACTACAGTAGCACCAACTCTGTAGACCACATACTACAGTAGCACCAGCTCTGTAGACCACACTACTACAGTAGCACCAACTCTGTAGACCACATACTACACAGTAGCTCCAGCTCTGTGAGACCACATGCCTACAGTAGCTCCATCTCCGGTAGACAACATACTTCAGTAGCTCCCATCTCCACCCAGCAGACCACATACTACAGTAGCTCCAGCTCTGTAGACCCACATACTACAGTAGCTCTCCATCTCTGTAGACCACATACTACAGTAGCACCAGCTCATGAGCCACATACTACAATGGCTGCATCTTTGTAGACCACATACTACAGTAGCTGCATCTCCTGTAGACCACATACTACAGTAGCTCATCTCTGTAGACCACATACTACAGTAGCTCCATCTCTGTAGATCACATGCCTGTGCTTTCCCAGCTCTTAGACCACATGCTACAGTAGCTCCAACTCTGTAGACCACATGCTACAGTAGCTCCATCTCTGTAGACCACATACTACAGTAGCACACCAGCTCTGTAGACCCTTTACAGTAGCTGCATCTCTGTAGACCACATACTACGTGGCTGCATCTCTGTAGACAACGCCCTTCCAGTAGCTCCAGCTCTGTAGACCACATACTACAGTAGCTCCGCTCCTGTAGACCATACTACAGTAGCTCCATCTCTGCTTAGACCACATGCTATAGTAGCACCAGCTCCTTGGGCCACATACTACAGTAGATTGCATCTCTGTGAACCACATACTACAGTAGCTCCATCTCTGTGAACCACATACTACAGTAGCTCCATCTGTAGACCACATGCTACAGTAGCTCCATCTCTTGGAGCCACATGCTACAGTAGCTCCGCTCTCTGCCCAGGCCACATACAGCTCCATCTCACCAGCATGCCACATACTGTGGCTCCAACTCTGTAGACCACATGCCTACAGTAGCTCCATCTCTCTGTAGATCACACACCAGTAGCTCCATCTCTGTAGGCCACATACTACAGTAGCTCCATCTCTGTAGACCATGCTACAATGCTTTTTCCAGCTCTGCTTCAGACCACATACTTCAGTAGCTCCATCTGTAGACCACATACTACAGTGGCTCCGCTCTGTAGATCACACATGCTACAGTAGCACCAATCTGTAGACCACATACTACAAGTAGCACAAGCTCATAGACCACATCTGATAGCTCCAACTCTGTAGACCACATACTACAGTAGCACCAGATTTGTAGACCACATACTACATTGGCTCCAACTCTGTAGATCACATACTTCAATGGCACAGCTCTGTAGACGACATACTACAGTAGCACAGCTCTGTAGACCACATACTTCAGTAGCACCAGCTCTGTAGACGACATACTACAGTAGCACAAGCTCTGTAGACATTTGCTACGTGGCACAAGCTCTGTGGGCGACATACTACAATAGCACAAGCTCTGTGAGGGCCACATACTTCAGTAGCTCAGCTCTGTGAGCAAACTATACTACCCAGTAGCACAAGCTCTGCAGACCACACATACTTCAGTAGCTCAGCTCTGTAGACGACATACTACAGTAGCTCCCATCTCTGTAGACCCACATACTTCAGTAGCACCAACTCTGTAGACCACATACTACAGTAGCTCAGCTCTGCAGGCCACACTACAGTAGCTCCATCTCTGTAGACCACATACTACAGCTCCATCTCTGTGAGCCACATACTGGCGCACCAGCTCTGTGGAGCCAAATTCTCTCTGATCGTTCCATCTTTTGAGACCACATACTTTAGTAGCTCAGCTCTGTAGACCACAAACTACAGTAGCTCCAGCTCTGTAGACCACATACTACAGTAGCTTCGTTTTTTGTTAAAAGAAAAAGTTTTTAAATATTAAAATTTCAGTGAATAAACTTTTTAGATTAATCCACCCTCCTTACAACCTGACCCCCCAGACATCTTGTCACCCTCTTAGGTCTATTACATTATGTATGTACTATATAATAATCTTGTGTGTATGGTTCACACCCCTAATGTGTACTTTATTGTATTACAAATATTGTTTCTCTTGTTTTATGAATTATAATCTTATTGATAAAACCTCCAGGAAGTGCTCAACTCTAGTATCCATGATGTATTTTTCTGAACATGTGATAAATTCCCAATAAAGATCAATAAACTGTTGAAATTGTCCCTGTTTAACCTTATTAACAGAGACGTCATTAGTAATAGAATTAATGGACTGACGGCATAATAATGACATTGTTAGTAATAAGCCAAAAAATACGATCGTTTTCAATATTGTAATTCTCCTAAAGCTGTTAATAAATAAAAGCACATTATAGCACAATAAAACTCTTTGTTAAAGCGGCTGATAAGGGGCTAAGAATACATAACCAGAAATAATACCAATAGGAGTATATGACCACCATATTGAACAGTAAGCAGTGCTCTTAACCTCTGAGCTAATGGTTCATCTCTGTATCACCAACCAACCCAACTACTTCACTACTGTTGGCGGCTTGGTAGGACAAGACCAGAGACTCTCAACATATAAACAAGTTGAATAGAAAAAAGTCTATGGGGTCAATATTTAATATATTGGCTGAGACTGAACACTGATTAAATATAATAGTTACCCCTGCTCCGTTTGTGTGATTAAATAATAGTTACCCCTCCATTTGTGATTAAATATAATAATTTACCCCTCCATTTTGTGATTAAAATATAATAGTTACCCCTCCATTTTGTGATTAAATATAATAGTTACCCTCCATTTTTGTGATTAAATATAATAGTTACTCCTCTTTTCCGTTTTCTATGATTAAATATCTGCTCGTTTTCTGTGATTAAATATAATAGTTACTCCAAAAACTGCCGCTCACAAAGAGCCGTTTGGCTTTATTTTTGCTTTTCTTTTCCTTCTGGGACACTGTTTTCGTTGTATTATTCCTTAAAGTTAATGAAAAAGTGAAATCAGGCCTAAATTTGACGTTTTTACGTATTTTAACGGCATATACAAGTTCAAGCTTCAAATGCTTCAATAAAGCAAATGCTTCAATGAAGCAAAAATAAACCACAGTGGCTTCGTGACGTCACCTGTGAACTTTTTCTCCGAGCATATAAGGCCTCGACTAACTGGCCTTCGTCGCTTTTCCTCACCGACCACTCGCCACTCACTGACTGCAGCTGACAGGCAGGTAAGCGCCACTCCTCTAGTCTCCTTTTATATACGTGTACATTTTTTGCCCGACTGCCTACAGTCAAATGGCCAAGAAATAGTTATTCTTTTTGGTGGTGTTTAATATACTTAATTATGGCGTAATAAATGCTTCGTTTAAGTCCAAAACTTGCCGGCCAGTTTGTTACAGTTCATGGGGTCGTATTTAAGTTTCACTGGGCTCTGGGCCCATGGTACCTACTGTGCAGCTTAAACAAATACATTAGTATTATATTAAGTGGCTCTCTAACGTCTAACCAGTAATT